TCATTATATTTACTTTGATTTTATTGTTAAAATTTGTACCTTGTAAAAAGAATGGGCATTAGATGATTGAAACACAAATACTATAAAATTCCATCTGGTTCGAAATCTTTGATTCTCAGTACATTTGGCAGAAGCAGAAAGTGTCCCAGGAATACATGAAAAATATTGCGTATCAATTAAATATGAAGCCATGCCTCTCACGGCATGCTAAAGGCTGGCATCGCAAAGCAGGCACATGAACTGCCAAAACAAGCCCTTTGGCTCCCATTTTGCTGTCCTTTGCAGGGTGTCCCTGCTACCCCAACCTGACTCTTCCGCCTCGGACTAAACCTCCTCCTCACCTGTATCCCTTCATTAATTTGGGGGGAAAGTCAGGAAAGTGGAACCAGACAGAGACTCCAGTAAACCAGATCTATCTAGAACTTTTCAGCCTTTAACTTTTCTTACTGAATGCTGTTTCCCTTCTGCTCCTGTCTTGTCTGTACATAAGGTATTTGGGGCAATTTCTGCCTTCTCTCCCACGTGGAGCAATCATAACTATATATTATATACGCACTTACCCACACACATCCATCTACATAAAATTACATGTATAGCTCTATTATAAGTAATAATATTTACATTTGTTCTGTCTTACAGCTACGCTCAGTTTCCAGCGAGTCCTTAAATTTCATGGAGGTAGATGTCCTAATAATCATCATCACTATGTCCTGGTATATTTTATTTGGTAGCTTGTTACTCAATGTAACAAAATTAAAATAATCTATAAATGAATTGAAAGATTTATTTCTGTTCAACTGAATCAATCCCCTGTAAGGACTCTTTTGCCCTTAAACCATAATCCTGATTCATCGGATTTTATTAGTGCAGTTGTGTAAAGCTTTCCTGCTCAGCCACAAAAATCACCTCGCTCTCCTGTAAGAGCATTTCTAACTTGAATGAATCTGCAGAAAATTGCAAATAAGGTACTTACCAGGAAAAAAAAAAATAAAAAATCTACAATATACTAAAACTAAAAATCACCACTCCAAAAAGGAATAGCAAGCACACTGCTTGCCATCTTCATGGTATTCCTTTAACAAACGCTGTCTTCACAATTAAGCCCGGAAAGATGAATTTTAATGTTCTACCTCTGATTTATGCCTTGAGTGATGCAGAGATTTTTCTAAGTTCAGAATTCTACAATTTACTTGTCCTTTCACAGACAAAAACTTTTGCCAGAGTAAGAATGAGTCTAGAAAGACAGGCAGATCTCCTAATCTCCTTAACTGAAAATTAGCCAGCAAAATGACATTCACAGACACTGACAATGACAAATCATTCACAGGCCAAGGTAGGATGCATTTTTTAAAGTATGCACTAAATTACACCTACTTGTTGTCGAATTTCTTCTTCCATCTTTACAGGGGAGCCCAACTCTGCGACTTGTTTGACTCCTTCGCTAGCATATCCTCCGTACTCCCAAAGGATGTAGTTCTTTGAGTGAGAACTACCAATGATCGCAGACCAGTGGTTGGTGCGTCCTTTCAAGGGGGTGGGGGGAAAAAAAAAAAAAAAAAAAAATCAACCATCGAGACAGCCTCAAAGCATAATTCCTAATTTTTTATTGAAATGAAAGGTTTGAAGTGCCCAGTCTTCACTAGTACCACTTTTGCACACTGTCTGTTCTCACTACATCAATACACCATATCATTAGACTAATAAGAAAAAGCCAGTGAACTACAGAAATATAGTGTAAAGTGTCAGTAATTATCAGATATAGTAACACAGGCATAAATGTTGAGAAAGATTGTGTTCTGGCTAACCAAGCAGCACCCCCTTCCCCCCCAACAGATAGGCTTAGACTATTTTTTCTTCACCAAAGACTTCAATTCTTCAGGAAGTTTAAGAATCCTTTAGTTTTAGGTTTCCACATAAAATATTTTTCAGTATGAAACCTGGAAGGGAAGACTTCAGTGGTCACTCAAAGATTTGACAGCAAGTCGTTTCCTTACTGAGAGATGCTGGTTTCTAACAGTCCCACTAGATTTGTGTTTGAGTGGTGACAGCAGATTACCAGCAAAAGGTAGACATAAGCATGATTAGACTATCATTAAATGTTACAGATTTTCATTTATAGTTTTGTGCCCAAACATCATCAGGCACAGAGCTATAATGGGTTTACAGCCAGAAACTTCCCCAGCTGCTTCCTGC